GGGGTGGCTAATGCCCCCAGCGCTCCCCACTCCACCTGTGACTGTCGGCCGCGCTTCCCGGGGCCGCCCGGCGCCGCAGCCCCATGGCCCCGTCCCGGCTGCAGCTCGGCCTCCGCGCCGCCTACTCCGGCGTCAGCTCCATAGCCGGCTTCTCCATCTTCCTCGTGTGGACGGTGGTCTACAGACAGCCCGGGACCGCGGCCATGGGAGGGCTCGCAGGTACGCAGGGGCGCGGGGGTCCCGAGGCCGCCGGGCGGCGGCGGGCAGGGCGCTGTCAGCGGCTCCGGGACGTTGCTCCTGGGCGGCGCTTTCCCCGGGGAGCGGGCGGGGTGTTTACCGAAAATGTTGGTCAGCGCCGCAGGCCCCGCGTATTCCCCGGAGCCTCCAGGACCCACCGCCCGGCCGAGCCCGCAGCTGGCGTTTGCAAGAGGCTGCCGCGCCAGCCGGGCTTTGGTCCCCGCGCCCTCCGCTCATCGCCCCATTACAGCGTTCTCTCTGCGCACCCGGTTCCCTGGCCACCTCCTTCACACACAGACACACACACACTTGTCCTGGGGGATCGCAGTCCACTAAGCACCCGTTCCTTGGGTGCTGGGCGCGGGAAATGAAGAAGGCTGGGGAATCCCGGGGTTACCCATCTGCCTCCTTCCAGTGTGGACCCGCGGCCCCAGTAGAGCCCTCAGCGGAGCCCGGGAGCACGGCGCTGGGGATCTGATAGAAACTGGACATTTTCTTTTCACCCACGTTGGTGCCTTTTGCCACTCATCTGCTGTGGCTTCTCAGCCGGTGCCTGCCAAGCCTGCCAAGCCTGCCGACCACCTTTATCGAGGAGGAAAGGAAGGGCTGGCTAGTGGAGCTCAGGTGCACGCCACTGCTGGCTACTTGCTGTCCACCTCTGGCACGCAATTTAACCTCTCTGTGCCACAGAATTGGTGCGAAGACGAAAAATATTATTACTTGCTGACATTTTTAAATGCTTTCTTATGTGTTAGTCACTGTGTTAAGTAATCTTCCCTTATTCGATTTAATCCTTACATTAATCCTATGAAGTAGGCGTTATTGTTGTGTCCATTTTGCAGATAATCTAAGGTTTAGAGTAAATAACTTGCCTAGGGTTACACAGCTACTTGAAATAATCGGTGGGGGAAAGGACTGAGGGGGGAAAAAATGCATGGATGGGTAATACTTTTACATGTGATGATTTTATTCCATTACTAAAACCCTCAGCCAAAAGAGCCCTACTTGAAATAACTAAGAATAACTTATTTACTCATTGCCCCCCCCCACCCCCCCCCGGGGGGCTTGCTGAGGGCGGTCCCAGTAGGGCCAGAGCATGAGGTGGTGTTTCTGCCTTATAAGAGGAGCATATAAGCAAGGCTGAGAAGAATGCAATGGTCACCAAGGAAGGACTCTGGCTGGTGTTCTCTGCCTGTCAGACTGCCCCGCCACCTGTGGGCACCTATCCCTCCTGGGGGCAGCCAGCTCATTTCTGCCCAGTTATCTCCTTCCCCTCTGCAACCCACCACTCCTCTAGAGCTTCTTTTCTGTTTCCTGTTGGCCTTGCTGCTTGCTTTCCTTTGGAAGGTGATGTCAGGGCAGGGTGGTTGGGATAAGGGGGACGGGGAGTGTGAGGGAGAGAGCCATCCCTGGAACACACCCGCTTAGGTAAGTTCAGAATCTGGCCTGGTGGAAGTGGAAGTGAGCCTTTCCTAGCCGTTGTGATCCTGGGCATGTCAAGGCCTCTTGGGCCACAGTTCCCTTATCTGTAAGGTGTGTGGGAGATTCCTCTGAACTAGCTATCTGATGTCCCTAAAGGTCTGAAATATTGCATTTCTGCTGTCTACTCCCTGAATCTTTCATCTCCAGCTGCCTGTTAGAAGGCTGTGGAAAAGGCCTAGAATTCTTGTACTCTGGGGAGCTGTCTGGGGTTTCCCTCTGATCCAAACTCTGCCCTCTCTTCCTCCTCAAAGACTTCCCCCAGCTTCTGAGGCAGGCCAGCTGTGGGCTGTGGCATTGCCTTTAGGGAGAGGTGCTAGGGCAGCAACCACCTAGAGTAGGGTCCTGGCATTTGACCTGATGTTTGACCTTTGACTGTGGCCATGGAAGAGCCCAAATTGCAGGTGGTGGTACATGGTAGGGGGAGGGGTTGCCAGGCCAAGGCCATGTACCTTCTCTGCCCTGAGTGGGCTGTGCCAGAGTCTACAGCCGGTCAGCCTTCTTCCTCTTTTGGGGGTTAAGTGTCAGCAGATTTACTGACTTATGAGCACCCCTCTTCTGACTTGGCATTTTCCAGCCCAGAAACTGCTGAGTCACCAGAGGGTAGCCCTACATGCAGTTTTTCCCCTGTGTTGGACCAGGCAGGGGCTGGTTGGTTGTGCTGGTTCCTGGGTCAAAGGCAGCCATGGAACCCCTGGTTCTAATGGACAGAGTTTATGGGTGAGGACACAGTCTCCCAGCCTGGCGGGTATCTGGAAAAAAATGACTTCAAAGAAAGGCTGGTTTTCCTGTGGAGGCATGTATTGGACCTACCTGCTTTGGCTTTGCTATCAGAACCCTGAGGGGAACATAGTCCTCTAGGTTTAGTGGACGAAGGAAAGAAAAAGAATGGTTGTCCCAGGATCTAACTGCTCTGTGTTCTTCCCACATGTGCTGGAGGTGCCAGAATTTAGAGGGGCCTGCTGCAGGCCCAGTGTCCCACTTGTCTGCATTTCCCCTGGGTGTCTCCTATCTTCTCACCTTCAGCCCAGCTGCTGGAGATGCTTTCACCACCCAGCCCTGCCTTCCTCGCCCTCAGCTTCTCAGCTGAGCCAAGAGGCCAAGCAGGGCCCCTTGAAGCAGGTGTTGCTGGTGAGCTGTCCGTTCTGCCCTAGATTGTGCTGATAAGGCTTGCTGGAGGCCAAGGGGATCCTAGGAAAGGATGCAGGGCTGAGGGACATCTGCTGCCTGAGGTGTGGGTGGGGACCAATGAGGGGCTCCACCTTACTCAGTGACCTGTTGAGGTAGTAGGGAGCTATCTTCTGAGGAGGGTGGGGAAGCAGGATGGGTGGGAGCGGGCCTGCTTCCAGATTCAGTGTGTTTATCTGGATGTGAGGCCTGTGTATAAAGCCTGGCGCAGGGTTGAGGGGTGGTGAGAGGTGGGTAAAGCCTTGCTTGCTTATTAACAAAGAATAGAGCCCCAAACACCCTGAAACAGCTATCTTCCTATCCCTCTTGGCCTCAGCCCTTTTTGGTATGTGCGTGTACATGGGGGTGGGAGTTTGGGGAAGCTACTGGATCATGGCCAGCGGACTAAGAGATGGCATCTTTATGGGTCTCTATTTCAGCATTTCCTAACCCAGAAATTGCTGAGTCACAGAAGAATTGCTCTGACCTCCTTATTTTTTTCCTAAGCTGGCTTCCAGAATCTTCAAGTGGGAAAGAATCTTACAGCTCAACTTCTCCAGCCCCTCTGTGACATGAGGAGACAGAGAGCAAGTGGACCTGTCCCAGACAGGTGCCCATTTGACTGTTCCTTGAAGATGATTAGTGACAAGAAGCCTCTTCCCTAGGGCCCTTTAAGAAACCAAACATTTGGGCCAGTTGTGGCGGCTCATGTTTGTAACCCTAGCACTCTGGGAGGCCAAGGCAGGTGGATTGCCTGAGCTCACAGGTTCAAGACCACCTGAACCAGAGTGAGACCTCGTCTCTAAAAATAGCTGGGCGTTGTGGTGGGTGCCTGTAGTCCCAGCTACTTAGGAGGCTGAGGCAAGAGGATAGCTTGAGCCTAAGAGTTGTAGGTTGCTGTGAGCTGTGACACCATGGCATTCTACCGAGGGTGACAAAATAAGACTATGTCTCAAAAAAAGAAAAGAAAGAAAGCAAACATTTCCCTCAAGTGAAATCTTAGGATAATGTGAGAAGTGGAAGAGATGTTTTGGGGACAGTGGCTTACGTAAAACCCAGACCATGTAGGATATAAACAGAAGCTGTGGAATTATTGTGTGCACAGCTGGCCTGCTCCAGCTGCCCAACTAGGCAAGGATGGAGAGATACTTATCCCAGCCCAGTCTCATCTCAGGGGTATATTCCAGGCCTCCAGACCCTAAGGAAGGTGGGCAGGAGCAGAGCTGGGGGAGTGTGTGGGAGGGGCGGTGAGGTTAGTAAACCTCTGCCTTCGCTAGGGTAGAACCTCAGGGCCTCCAGTTATCCAGACTGGCAGGACCTCTGGGCTCACTAATTTTTAGATGTGGAAAAACCAAGACTCTGGGGCCCCCCAGCACTAGGGCCCAGGTTTCTTGGCTTGCAGTGTCATGGGGTTTTGTCCCTCACCAGGCTACCTAAATTGTGACAGTTTCACAATTTTCAGAATTGTGAATTTTCACAATTTCAGTTACCAGTTTTCTGAGCTGGTAACTAGAGTATAGCTGAATGACAACTAGTTTCCTCTTTTTTTTTCCCCTCACTTAAAAAAAAATAGGAAATATTTCAGGCATGTCAAAAAGGGTAGAAAATTTAACAAAGTTCCTTACATTCACTACCCAGCCTAAGAAATAAAATGGCATAGATTCTGTCAAAGCACACCCCACCCGACCTCCCCATCAACTTCCCTTCCCTGTCTCCATTGCCAGAGACAACCACTTTCCCCGGCCAGATGCTTGTTCTTGCTTGCATGTTTGGTGGGCTACTATGGAAGTAGCATCCACTACTCCCTTTTGGAGAGGCCTCTAGACTCCTAGGATGCAGTGGCCTTCTGTGGCCCACACCCCACAGGCCAGCTGGCAGAGAGCTTGCAGCTGGCTCTGCCACTTTCCTCATTCCTTCCTTGTTGGGACCCCACGGCCTGCTCCGGACCCTTGCCAATGGAATTGATATTGGTTCCACTCTTTGGGCCACACCAGCAGGCACTGCCTGACACAGAGGGCTGTTTTCTATTGTACTGTACTGTACTGGCTGAGTGGCAGCTGGCTCCTAGGGAAACTGGACACCCAGGCCCAGAGGGCAGGCCCAGGAAAGGGTGGGGATGGGGTGGAGGGGGATGGGGGGATGCTGGCTTGCCCTAAGCTGCACACCAAAGGGAGTGGCATGAGACCTGGCCAAGAGAAAGAAGTCTTCTTGGGTGCTGGGTAGTCCTGGGAGTCCTCACCCTGCAAGACCAATCAATACAGGGAGTTTGGGGAGAGCCCTGCTGCCCAGGAGCCCATCTGCGGAAGGATACCTTTACCATATCTGTTGCCCTCAGAGTACATGGTGGGAAGTCCCCAGAACACAGGCTGGACTGTGAGGTTCTCAAACTTTGTTTTCAGGACACCTTTATGCTCTTGAAAAGTAGTGAAACTCAAAGCAAATTTTATTCATATGGGTTATAGCTCAGGACATGTACCATATTAGAAGTTAAAAGTTAAAACTGAGGCTCAGTGCCTGTGGCTCAAGTGGCTAAAGCGCCAGCCACATACACCTGAGCTGGCAGATTTGAATCCAGCCCTGCCGCCAAACAACAATGACCACTGCAACCAAAAAATAGCCAGGCATTGTGGCAGGCGCCTGTGGTCCCAGCTACTTGGGAGGCTGAGGCAGGAGACTCGCTTGAGCCCAGGAGTTGGAGGTTGCTGTGAGCTGGGATGCCACGGCACTCTACCCAGGGTGATAGCTTGAGGCTCTGGCTCAAAGGAAAAAAAAGTTAAAACTGAGAACATTTTTCAGCATGTGAAAGCAATACCAACAATACCATTGAGTTAACAACATAAATTACTTTTTTTTTTTTTTTTTTTTGCAGTTTTGGCCAGGGCTGGGTTTGAACCCGCCACCTCTGGCATATGGGGCTGGCACCCTACTCCTTTGAGCCACAGATGCAACCCCACATAAATTACATTTTTGTAAGAGATACTCATGTTTTCCAAACCAACAACAAAAAATCAGGGAGAAGAATGCAGGGTTTTCTATTTTCATGAACCTGGGGCTTGCTAGCAGGCAGCTTAGAGTCTCTTAACTGCTTCAGCATCCAAGTCCCTGTGATACCACGGGAAACTCCACTCTGTGGTCACGAGGGAACCAGGGAGAAAGGCCAGTATTCTTATGTAAATAGGCCTGGCCTAGCCAACCCAAAGGGCCCTGGGGATCCCTGTGTCCTGGGCAGCGTATCTGCGTGGCAGCCTGGCTGCCAGGTAGCTGATCACTGACTCTTTTTCACAGGTGTGCTGGCGCTGTGGGCCCTGGTGACGCACGTGATGTACATGCAGGATTACTGGAGGACCTGGCTCAAGGGGCTGCGCGGCTTCTTCTTCGTGGGGGTCCTCTTCTCTGCAGTCTCTGTGGCTGCCTTCTGCACCTTCCTCACGCTGGCCATCACTCAGCACCAGAGTGAGTGCCCGTCTGCCTAGAGAAAAGGCGTGGGAGGGGCAGCAGAGGGTTTAGGAATAGACCCTGGGATTCCAGTCCAGGTTCTACAGCTCACATCCAAGGGGTCTGGCAGATCACTTAACCTCCCTGAGCATGAATTTTCTTATTGTCAAAGTGAGTAGGATGAGTTCCCATCACCTATCTCTTGCCGACGGGGCTGTTCAATGAGACTCCCAGGAAGTGTTAAGCCCTGGGTATGATGAGTTGGCTATTGGTATGGCTTAGACTCTTCCCAGCTCTGGGATGGGAGCGCCCTCTGGTGGCTGTGGCAGGAAGTATCCAGAGGGCCTCTTCACGGCCCCAGGGGAATCTGATGTAAAGCAGGTTGGAAATGGCTTGGGGTACATGTCATAAAAATAGAGTGGATGATATAGACCTGCGCTTGGCCAGCCCCGCCATTCCTTCATCCCCAGGATCTCCTGCCTGTAAACTCTGGAATTCACATTCAAGTCTTTCTGTTGGGTTGGTTCAGCTGCTGGGACATTTCAGGGGTGTTGAGTGGGAGGAAGGTGGCCCTGGCCTTGGGCTGTGGATGAAGGGGGTTCCTCTCTTTGCAGGCCTCACAGACCCTACCAGCTACTACCTCTCCAGCGTCTGGAGCTTCATTTCCTTCAAGTGGGCCTTCCTGCTCAGCCTCTACGCCCACCGCTACCGGGCTGACTTTGCGGACATCAGCATCCTCAGTGATTTCTGACCCAGGGAGTGAGGGCTCTGCACCCTGGGGGTCCTCAGGACCTGAACTCAGTTTCTGAGACATTGGGAGGGCCTCATCTCACCCCCTGGAGACAGTACACAACAGGACTGTGGCCTCCCAGGGAAGCTATGAGGCCTGTCCCCTTGGGAAAGACCTGGGAGCAGTGGGAAATGCTGGTCTTCATCAGAGGCCGGGCTGGAGGGCAGCTCTATACCTTCTCAAAGGCATCTGTTTTCTTAGCACTCAGAAAGGAATAATTGTGGGTCAAGAGGTAGAGCCCTGAGAACTTGACCTATGCCTGGGGCAGGGGTTTCCTCCCTGCTGGCCCAGGTACTGTTCTTGAGGCCAGGTGGGAACACGGGGAGGTCAGTGAGTAAGGAGTCTCAAAGAGACCTTTCAAGTTCCCACCCTCCGGTCCCCCTAACCAGGGTCAGGTAGCTTAACTCATTAGTCCCAGAGATGGCTACATTGGGCTCTTTACCCAAAGCCTGAGGGGCTGAGTAGAGAGTTTGGTGTCCCTTCTCCATCATCACATCCTGAGCTGGTTTCCATGAGTGTGCTAAGAACCAGAAGCCATCAGCCTCTCCCTGCCACCCCTGAAGTACACAGAGGCATCCTCACACCCTAGCACAGGACTTCCCTAACAAGGCCAGACTAAGGGTCACAGGGAATGTGCTCCTGTCCCCAGGAAGGGCTTTGGGGAAGGGGGCAACATGGTATAGGCTAGGAGCCCCCTGAACTATACTGTGTACTCCCAGCCCTGAATTTCTACTCTGCCTCTTCAGAGTGCCATTGCACCCAGACCCTTGACCATGAAGTACCTTCTTTCCCACTCCAGCCCCTGTTCACTGCCATTCTACTATAACTTTTATCTTTTTAAATCTCCCTTCTGAAGGATAAAAATCTGCTTTTCTGCCCATACATCAGCCCAAGGGCTCACCTAACAAGGAGGGAGGGGCCTGTTGTTACCTAGATCTTTTTATGTTAATTTGCCATTTTGCACGGTCTACCCTTCTCCTGCCAGTGTGTCCCGACCCTTAGCTCTCTCTGCCTTATCTGTGTCACCGTCACTTTAGCAGAAAATACAGCAGCCATTTGTATCAGACAGCCTCTGGTGGTTACTTGGGGGGAGGATTGGGCAGGGAAGGGGTGGAAATAGCTAACTATCTGATTAAACTATTTCCCTAGTCCAAATTGTGCCCTGGAGAGCAAGGACTGGGTCCGTGTCTCAGAGGCTAGAGATTCTTGTTCTAGCCCTTTTGGTATGAGGGCAACCAGCAGCCCAGCTCCCCTCTCTCTGTCAGCACACCTGCCCCCCTAGTCAGGCCAAGGACATCCACGGACATGGCCTCAGCAACCTCCATGGGATGTAGTGTCCATCACTCATGAGGCCAGGCCAGATGGGAGAGGGACTAGCACCTCTTCCCTTCAGGCCTTGCCAGGCTGCTGAGGGCTCAGAGCCAGGTCTTCCTGCTAGAAAAGCCTGGTGGACCCAGAACTGCAGGGGCAGGTGCTGGCAGCCCTGGCGCCTTCCTCTCTGCTCACACCGGATGAACCTGTCCAGGCCTGCTGCCTCACCCATTCTCTCTTCTAGCTGTTATGCTTAAGAAGTCATGGCACATTAGGGCAGGAAGGAACTATAAACAATATCTATAATATTTCCGGGGCCTTTTACTGATAAAAGCCCCAGAAGGTGATGTGACTTACCTGAACTCCCAGCTAGGACTTAAACCCAGGATGTCTGATTCAGGACTCTGGAGTTGCCCTGATAAGCAGGGATAACTGTATTCCTGCCTCCCCCATACCAGGGCTAGGCCCCCTGTCTGTGGACTTGGCCCAGGGCTGCCGTCTCCTTATCACCCCATGCTGGGGTAGGCAGGGACAGCTGAGGTGTGTTCAGAATGGGTTCTTCATGCAGGGCAATGACTATGGAAGAGCCAGGAGGGAGAGGTTGCAGCCTTGACACCAAATCAGCCGCATGCTCCCTGGGGCAATTGTGTGCCCATGTGCACACCTACCCATAGCATGAGCCCTTCCCCAGACAATTTTAAAGCAAATAAAACATTTATTCAAATTGTTTCCATTTTTTTTTTCTTTTTTCCTTTTTTACAAAAACATGCATACATACACAGGGTATGGTGGGTCCTGGGGAAGACACGTACGCCTATACACACTCCTCACTCACGCACACATTCACACACAAACACTTTCCTTCTTGGTCTCAGGCCTGGACCGCAAGAGCCTTGAGGACTTTGCCAGGGCAGCCTCCCCTCCCCATGTCTTGTGTCCACTCTTCCCTTCCCTCCGCCAGGCTATTCCTACATGGGACAGGAGTCAGAGCTGGAGGGAGACCCCAGAAACAAGGAGGAAGCAACTAAGGGGCACCCGGGGGTCATGCTGTGCTTCTGAGGGGAGATGAAGGGTTGGCACCATTGGATCAGGAAGCACAGGACTCCAGAAGCACCTGTCTGTTCCACCAGGGCACTGAGATGGTCAATACAGGATGGCCTCCAGCGGGGGCAGGCAGAGGGAGGTCTGCCAAAAACTGCTCTCAGGGAGCTTTGTCTCAGTGCCCAGTGTTACAGGGAAGGTTCCAGAGTCATCCAAGGAAGCAGGTGAGAGGAAGGATCCCCTGCACTCAGGGATAGGGGTCCTCTTGGCTCCCTGCCTACCTCCAGCCCACAGAGCCTCAGAAGGGCCACCCTGGCTGATGCCAAGTTCACATTTCGGTGTAGAGCCTGGGGCTGTGTGCAAAGTCTGGGGTCTGCAGAACCAAATATAGTGGTTAAGTGTGGGCCCAACTGAGCCAGTCTTGCTCTGTGCAGTCCTGAGGAATGCAGGCCACCACTTGGGGCCCAGACACCAAAGGGGTAGAATCTGTTCTTGAGAGAGCCCTGCTGGGGCCTGGCTGCCCAAACTCCTCTCAGGATCCCCTGTGGTTCCCATCCTACACCCAGGGGCCCTCTCAGGCTCCTTGGGGTGGCTGTCAAGGCAGGCAGGCTGTTCTCTGGCCCCGACTACCTGCCCTTAGGATCTCTGAAGACCCTGGAATGGGGGCTGTTGCCAGAGATTAGAAGAAAACCAGGTTCGAAGGGCAGGGTGGGCAAGCAGATGTTTCTGAAGCCTTAGAGATTCATAGGTTCTTCCTCCTCCACCAGCTGCTCTGAGGACCTGGGGAAAGGGACAAGGGTGAGACGCTGGAGGGCCAGGGGCCACAGGAAGGCTGCAGCTGAGCTTCCCCCCAGCCCTGGTCAGGAAGCCTGAGAGGGCTGGGGTAGTTGCATGGGGGATCTGGGGTCTTTAGGCAAGGAGGACCAGAGGGTGGAGAGGGCCCAGGGTTGGGGTCTGGCATTACCTGTCTTCAGCCAGAATGCCCACAGAGAGGGATGCCAGTGCAGTCACTGCCTCTACTTCTTCTGTATCAGCCCCCGGCCTCCGGGGCACCCATGGGTCTGGGCAGGATGCCAGGCGCTGCATGCAGCCCCAGTATTTACCTGGGGCAAGAAGCTAGTCAGGAAGGGTGGGAAAGCAAGCCCCTCCCACACTGCACCTGAGACTGGACATGACACACTCTCACCTACCTGCCCCTCCCCTGCAACACTTGCTCCCCCTCCCTGCCAACCCCTGACAGGCTGAGCAGAGCAGCCTCCACATGGCTCTGAAGGGGTCCTGGCAGCTGCCATATCTTTCTCCCATGCCCTGTGGCTGAAAGGCCACCTCAGACTCATTGTCCTAGGTGTGGATTCCTAAGAGCATGGGGAGGGTGTACTTTCCTGCAGACAGGATCTCTGTCAGGGTGATCTCACAGATCCCTGAGTGCAGGGTCCCACTCATGTAGCCCCCAGCACCCAGGGAAGGAGAGCATGGGAGGCAGGAAGAAACCACGGCACCAGGAGAGATGACTGTCACCCCAGCTTCCCCGTGTGGCCTTCCCCGGGAATGCCCACCCTGCTGCCGTGAGGAGTAATACACATGTAACACACACGGCACAGAGCCTGCCTGCTTGAGAATGCCACAGACGACTCGGTGGTGTCTTTACCATTACGTGTGCTTCCCTCACCAAACTCTAGACCCCTAGCATAAATCCTGGGTCTGTACATAAAGCACTCAATAGATACTGAGTTGAAGTTGAAAACTGAAAATTCTTTCCAAATGTGAGGTTATTCTAAGACCCAGCCCTTGGGCAGGCAGGACCCTGCAGTCCCCCATAGCTGGGACAGGGGAAGAATGGCAGCCAGGCCTTCCAGCAAACAAGGCCCAAGCAATGCTGTTGGTCTGGCACTGGCCTACAGTTGTGGCTATAAATGGGAGGCCCATTCTTGCCTTGAAAAGGCCACTGTCTGATAGTCTCTGCTATGGACATCTTGAGAGCTTAGAGGTACCCACTCATGGGGGGCTCCCCACTATTACTGATGGGGTGACTCAGGAATGTGACTCCAGACCAACAGCAGGTCACCTGGTTGGCCCTGGAAGCCCCAAGAACTCTGGCCACTAGGACAGCGGATCGTTGAGATTCTTCCAAGTCTGAGCAGCTTGGTGAGTGTTATCTCCACACTTACTGTGTGCCCGGATCACGGCCTCCAAGGATCGAATAGCATTGAGGTTGGGTTTCTGTTTCCAGCCTTCTTCTGAAAGAGGATCCACCTACAGAAAACAGTACCTTAGCTACCAGTGTCACAGGGAGCCACAACCCCAGCTCTCTCCCACCCCAAAGAGTCTAAGCCTTCTGGGCACAAACAGGCCTAGGCTCTGCCTAGATCGGACCTATATCTAACTTGGAGAAGAGGCATCCACTTTACCTACCTCATTTCAGACCAGACTTGCCCTGTCACACTCCATCTGCCTGCTCTTTGGGCAGTCCTGAGAAACCTAGCTCACCTGCCCCACAGAAGCATGAATGGTAGAGGGGATAGCTCACCTTCTTGCCCAGCAGAGCAGCTACGCAGGCCTCAGAGGCATCACAGATAGCTGTGAGGTCATGACCACCCTCTAAGGCCAGCACCACTGCACCTCCTGCCAGGTTCATCAGCTGCTGTGTCATGTACCCGAAACCTAGGCATTTGGGTGGGGTAAATAGTAAGGGATGGAGGTGGAGGAGCGGTGGCCCATTCTCTACCCGTTTCCATGCTTGCTTCCTCCCCCATAGTGACTCAAATGCATAAGTCATTAGTTTCCAAAGTGCTTTCACATTGAATCCTAAGCAAAACCTGTTAGTATGCCTCTTTCAAGGCTCAAAGGAATTAAGGGTCTTGCAAAGGGCCCCACAGCTAGTAAGTGGCAGCAGGACTAGGACTTGAACTTGGGGTCTTGACTTCAGCCTGTCTTTTTCAAGAGCCACACTATCTCCTCGTTCTGTCCTCCAGGCCCTATGGCCCAGTAGGCTAGGGGGAGGGAGGAGCTTTGTTCTGAGAAGGCAGCTCCTCCCATCCTCCCTCTGAAGGAGCTGCCAGCCCAGCCTGGAAACAGCACAGTTGTGCTGGGGAGTTCTATGGCTGAGCTTTCTGTGCGTCAGACGTAAAATCCCCAGGGGTCTGACCTGGTCAAGCCCTGCGCAGCAAAGCAGCCTAGGTCCCAGAAAGGACCAGGGCAGTGCTAGGCTAGGAGATCCCAGGGAATCCCAGGGCCAGCTGCCATACTTCAGGCCTCAGGCTCACAGCCCTGGCTGGCCACTGCTGCCATCCCCTTTAGATTTGGGCCACACATCCCCACCCTCCCACCTCCCGGCCTGGCTCTTAGTCCCTATACCTCCCCTTCAGCTGGGGCCCCCTTACATTTGGCAGAAACGTGGTAGCCACCCAGAGGGGCTGGGTGACCCTCAGCAGCATCAAACCCAGCTGACACTAGGACCAGGTCTGGAGCGAACTCTCGGGCAATGGGCATCACGACTATCCTGGGAGGTTGCAAGGAGAAGAGGGGTCACCATACTGCAGAGGGCTGCTGGAGGCAGAGGCCAGGCTGCTGTCTAGGCTGGCCCCTCCCTCAACTTTGCCATGAAGCACTCTGCTCTTAGGGGTCCAGACACCTAGTCCCCTGGCAGGATTAGCAGATCCTCTGACCTCCTTGACTTTGGCTGGCCCCTTGTGTCCCTGGCATACAGCCTAAGGACTCAGCCCCCCCATAAGTGGCGGAGGAGCATGTGTATATCTGTAGGTGCAGTGAATGGGACACAGGCAAGGGCATCTCACAGCCAGCCAAGGACTGTGCACCAAACTGACCACACCCCACTACTCAAGAGCTAAGAACCAACTGGGGCAACAAGACCCTCTGAGGTCCTAGGCCACTAGCTCCATTCTCTTATCCCCTTCCCCTGTTGCCCCCCACAGCTCTGACCCAACTCTGAGGTCCACTTTGAGGTTTTCAAATCCCTGGGTTCTTGGGCACAGACACCAGGAACTCTAGTCCAGGGCTCCGGCAGAATTAGCTGTCATGGAGAGTATCTTCAGAAAAGTCTGGAGATCTACTTCTAGGGTTCTCTTCCCACACAGAGAGCAGGGGCTCCAGTGTGAACAGAGCCTGAAGCCCCTCCTCCAGAGTGATTTTTCTTTTCTTTTTTTTTTTGGAAACAGAGTCTCACTTTGTCACCCTTGGTAGGGTGCCGTGGCATCATAGCTCACAGTAACCTCAAACTCTTGGGCTCAAGAGATTCTCTTGCCTCAGCCTCCCCAGTAGCTGGGACTATAGGCACCCGCCACAATGCCTGGCTATTTTTAGAGACTAGATCTTGCTCTGGTTCACACTGATCTCAAACCCGTGAACTCAGGCAATCCACCTGCCTTGGCCTCCCAGAGTGCTAAGATTATAGGTGTGAGCCACCGCGCCTGGCTCTCAGAGCGGCTTTTCTTAAGTAACTCCCCCAACATGGACGTCATCTCCTCCCCCACTCAAAGCCCACCTCCTCCAGGCAGCCTACTCTGACCAGACGCAGCAGCTCTGCTCACTCCACCCCACCTTTCTGCCAGCCCTCCACCTAACACTAAGTCACACATTAAAGCAACGTGTGACTTTATGCAGCACCCTTTGACTTTTGCATTCTTCTGCACATATCCTACCTTCCTCCTTGAGTTTACCTACAATGTGTAGTAGCCAACGGGACAGGGTAATGATTCCACTAAGAGCTTCCAACCCAGTCCTATTGGGAAAGGGATTTGCTACCCTGGGCTCCCAGAGTACTCACCTAAAGGCGGCCAGGTACTCAGGATCCCCCATGGGGGGGTCCAGACCTCCAGCCCAGGCCACATTGACATTGAAGCCCTCACCGTTTCCAGCCCCGACCTTGAAAACAGACATAGGGAGACATGAGGAGAATATAGCCCTAGAAGAGGAACCCCAATGTTAGCACTGCCAGACCAGTTATCCAGCTGCCTCACTTCCAGATATGGAAGCTGAGGATCAGGAAGCTATACAGCTCGTGCTGGCAGGGGCAGATTGTCAGGAGGAGAGTCAACAGGGCTGGAGGACATGGCCTCACCTCATCCACAGCCCCACTGCCTGGGAAGAAGTTGCCATCATCATGGCGATGCAGGGAGATGTAAAGCACACTGGAGTCTTGGTAGAAGGTCTGCTGGGTGCCATTGCCATGGTGAACATCCTGCACAGGGAGATGGGCAGTGCTTAGGGAAGGTATAAAGCAGAGAGATGGGGGCCAGAACAGTTGGAAGGATTTCAAGGTTGTTAGCCATTCTAAGAGTCAAGACCCTAGACTGGGGGCCAGGAAACTGGGGTTTTTAGGGCCATATGGTTCAGTGGCCCCAACTAATAATCCACTGCTGATCCTTGAGCCTCGGTCTCTCCACATTGGAGGTGCACTCTCTCTCTCCATAGGAAGAGAAAGAAACATGGTGGATATGGCTGGCTTTAATAGGAAACCCTAAAGGAAGGGAGGCACCCCAGTCTCTGAGGAGGCAGGCTGACCGCAGGTTGGCCCACGAGAGACAGAATGCTTGTGGGGGTGGATTAGTGGCCGGGAGAGGTAAGATACCAGGATCATACACATTAGAAACTCTCACCACTACATCTTGGGTGAAGTCATGAAGTGACACAGGTGATCACAAACTGGTACCTGGCCTGGCCCCATCCTGTCTAGGAAGAGCCTACACTTGATTAGTAAGACCATGCTCAGGCTCAAGCGTGCAAAGGTCCTCCACTGTTCTCAACTTCTGCTTTGGGAAATGTCCCTTTCCCAGCCATCAATGCAAAAGGGACAGAATAAATGCACGCACTTAAGAGTTAACTAGCCTGGGTGCAAATCCATCTCACTTTACAAGGTGAGTGACTGTGCAAGTCATTTAATCATTCTGTGCTCACGTTCCTCATCTAATCCTAGAATCAGAATTAAATTCACCCATATAACACCATCCCTGTCTGGATGTGATTAGTGGTATACTGATAACTGTATGCTATTATTCCCATCACAACTATCTGAGAGGAAATGCAGAAATCTTATTAGATCTGCCAAAAGAAGCCAGTAGAGGTCAAAAGACAATGGTCGAATGAGAACTGCCACCCGCTATGGGAGCTCGTTAGGGCTTAAGGCTTTTCCACACACCATCTCCTCTGGGCCTCCCAACAGCCCTGCAACATGAGTGTTATCTTCATAGAATTTTGCACAGGGGAAACTAGGCTCATGGAGGCTAGCACAGAACTAAGACATGCAAGCCCATTTCTAACACCAGGCTGCAGGCTCTCTCCACCAGACTCTGGGATCTGCAGTACAAGGAATAGACACCTACCCAGTCTACAATGAGGATCTTGCTGGCCTTGCTTTGCTGTTGCAGCTGCCGACAGGCGACGGCCACTGAGTTGAAGAAGCAGAACCCCCTGGGAGAAGGAGAGAGAGGTCCTAATGGCCCTTCCCCTCCCCACGACCCCACCTCTCCAGCCCCTTGTCTCTCCCAACCCCTGGCTTGGCCTGGCTCTATCTGGCTCAGGGAAGGAGGGAAATGTCTCTACAGGAAGACCCAGAGAGCCTGTCCCTACCCCACCCCAGCCAGGCCTCCCCCAGGCCTTACATGGCTGTGGAATGGTCTGCGTGGTGTCCTGGGGGCCGCACCACAGCAAAACCGTTCTGGAAAGAGAAAAGTTGCTTGTCAACTCTACAGCTAGCATTCCGACTCACATTTGGAAAAACCAGTCCCCCAGGCCCAGCCTCCCCCTCTGAGAAGGGGCCACAGGGCATTAGCTGCCAGCAGGTCTGACCTTGTCCAGGTTGGAGCTAAAGTGGCCCAGTGTCCCATCCTCAAGCTGTGAGCCCTTTGCTCACAGGCTGCACATGAACAAAGAGCCCCTCGTCCTGGGGTGTCCTGACTACCATCACCTTGCAATGATAACTGCTACTGGCCACCGAGCAAAAACATGCAACTGCCATTGTGCCAACCACTTGACAAACGCTGGCTTTCATCCTCACAGCATCTCCTTGAGGTCAACAGTACCTGATCCTCCATATGACATCTTCACAACACAAACATTATTATCTCCACTTTACAGATTAGGAGAAGTCTGAAGCTTAGGTGAGTTAAACAACTTGTCCAAAGTTGTCAGGTGTAACTGATAGAGCCACATGACGCTGCCCTGAGGTGCTCTGATACCGAGGACACTGTGACTGCCTTGGACCATACGCTCCTAGGCAACAGGCTGTGGGCCACTGGCCAAGCCCTGTAAGAAGCCCAGCCCAGAATGAGCAAGGATGGTTACCAGCCCCATTACATAACCTCAGTACTAAAGGTCCAGAGACATCCTGAGATTCGCCCAAAGCCACACAGTGGGCCTTAAATTGGTCCTGGATGACCAGAACCCTATGTCTTCTAGAGACTAAGGGTCATAAGGTCACAGTGGCTTATGTCCCTGCCAAGTAATATGCACCTGGGGTTCAAAGCTTAGTCCCTAAAGCCCCTGATTTTCCTTCCAAAACTGTGTGGCAATATCCAAGAGGAATGAGACGCCAGGGGTCATGGGCCTGGATTCCCCACTGTTCCACCCTGTTGCCTCTTCTGTGGTGAGCTTCCCTTAACCCAAACCTACCTTCAGCTTTCGGGAAGCCACTTTGAAGGCGAGGTCAGTGACACTGCCAGCGGCCCAGCAGGCTGCATTGGAGGAATGCAGCTCATTCCAGATGGTGTCAGTATCCACCTGTGGGAGCCAGAGTCAGGGCCCGCATCATCCAAGGCTTCACATAGGAACTGGGGCCCAATGGGGCATCCCCACCCAGCGGCCAAGATCCCAGGGGCAGGGAGCTGAGCAGACAGCGCTGCCTCCCTAGTGCCCCACCGCCCAAAAGCAAGGCCTCCTGTGTCCCCAATCCCAGCACAACTTCTTCCCAGCTTAAGTCCCAGCATCAGCCCATATCTGGCCAGCACTCTGCTGGCAGCATCACACCTGCCTCCCCGGTCGTGGGAGGGGGCATGGCGTTACCTGGGCGGGACTTGGGGTTTGGGCCGGGAGGGGTTTTAAGCCCCAGCTGACTCTGCTCAGGCCCTGCGGGACGGTCGGAGCTGGAGGGGCCGTCTGCACCACTGTCTTCCACTCAGGGCCCCTAGCCCAGGCTGGGGCCCCCCAAACCCAGTCCCTGGGCCTCAAGGCTAGGGAGGGGCCGGGGGGCATGATGGGGAGATGGGGGGGCGAGGCAGACCAAGAGAGGCGAGGAAGGCAGAGAGAGTCGCAAGAGGCTGGAGAAAGAAAGAGAGAGAGAGAGAGAGACAGACAGAGAGGGAGAGAAGGGAGGAGAAAACAGAAGTAACAACAGTTGGAAAAATCAGAAAGTGGCAAGAAATGGGAGGTTGTGAACAGGGCGCTGACCGGCTCCCAAACAGCCCCCCACCAGCTGCAGCTGCCACTCTCTCTCAAAGTGAGGGCTCCATCCCTTGTGTCCATACACCTTGCCTTAGAAACCACTACAGGAACATTTCTAGGTGAGGAGAGCCAGACAGAGGGAGCGGGAAGCCCCTCCCACAGGTGAGGGGTAGGCAAAGCTGGGGGTCACAGAGGGCTGTGTGAAGTGCCTAGATCACAAAGGACACTGGGAGCATCCCCACAGCCCCATGCCAGGCTGTTCTGGGAATCAGCCTGACTCCACCTCACTCAAGGTCTATCAAACACCTTCCAAGTACGAGCCTGGACTAGGGGCTCCATACTCAGGAGACACTGACGGGGCTAGGACACCCCTGTCTATCGGGGGCTTCCAGCCTCTTGGGGGACCTAGGGGCAAGTCCCCGGCCTGCCCAGTCTGGGCCTGGGAGAACTGAAGGGAGGAGAGCCCTTGGCAATGCCTAGTTGAGACCCTGGGACACTTACCCCAACCCCACCACAGGGCAGCATCACAAACATCCGCTCTGCCAGGATCCCTGTGGGGAGAGGCCCAGCAGTGTGAGTGTGGGTGTTCTTGGCTTTGGCCCATCCAGGAGCAGGGAGGCTCTGACAAGATGGCTGGGTGGGAGTGGAGGGGAGAGATAGGACAGGGAGAGGCGGGTGTGGGCAGCAGAGGGGGAAAGCTGGGATGAAAGCAAAGGAGCTAAGTGAGAGCCAGGCTCAGGCTCCTCCAAGCCCCTACCTGCCAGCTTCTCGTTGTCCAGTTTAAAGCGGCTGAGCGGGTTGGTGCCATAGAGGAGAACGTGCCGCTCGGAGTGGACCGACTGTAGCTCCTCCAGGGAGGCCTTCCGGCCCCGGAGACACTGAGGAAGGACCCACAGCACTCCTCAGCCCTTGCCCACTCTCTCCCACTCCCACTGTGCCACCTGCCCCTCATCTCCCGCTGGCCCCATCCCTCCGGCTATCCTTCCCTCTTCCTATACTGTGCCCCCCATCCAAGTCCTCACCTCACACTGACTCCGCAGCCCTTGCTCCTGCAGCCGGGACCAGATGCTCTGGATGCGGCCAGCATGCTCTGGGTGCCTGCTGTTGTCTCCACAGGAGCACTGGTGCTTCAGCATTACTGAGTCATAGACCAGCCCTGCAGGAGCAAGGGTCAGGGCCGGGACCCCAGGGCCTCCTCTTCCACCCCCATGGCCACAGCCCCCAAGCCGATCCAGGTGGGACACACACACCCCTACATCCACACAGGCTGCATTCTCCATCCTGCCTCCGTCCCCCACCCTCTCCCTTCACACCCAGACACTTCCCTAGGTGGCCTTAGACAACACAGCACCATGCCAATACAGCTTCCACAGAGCCACTGCCTTCTTGCCACGCTGACCTGACTGCTCACGTGGCCTGACAGCACTGTGCCCTCAAGCGCTCAAGCCTAAGGCCGAGGCCTAATGTCAGGCCTCTCACACTGGCTGCCAAAGAGGCTACAAAGGGCAGCAAGAAGGGGATAGAATTCCTAGGCAACCCCCAAACCGGGAGCTGGGAAGCCCACAGTGACACTGGGCCACGTGATAAGACAAATAACAGCTTTGGAGGTGTGGCTATCTCAGTCTGACCCACAGGAAGTCTGCAGAGGAGGGCCCTGCACGTGGCTGTGGGAGGATGAGTTTCTGTTCATCTCGGGACACCAAGGGCCTTCAAAATGCTCACACCATTTTCGCAGGAATGCCCCTCCTTAAGAGTGAACCATGGGAAATACTCCCAAATGTGAGTAAAGATTTATGCATAAGGAAATTTAAATGAGCAATAATCAGACGCCTGGCTAGCTCAGTCGGTAGAGCATAAGACTCTTAAAATGAGCAATAATCTAAATGTCCAATCAATAAGGAATCACTGAATGAAAATAAAATTAGGATGAGTCTCAGTTTGAAAACTTAACTATGCCAAGAAGCATTCACAACAGGTTAAAGCAGGCGAGAACAAAGACTGGACTGAACTACAGCAGAAGTTAAGAGGGGTGACCTCTAGGTAGTAGGATAGTGGTTGGTGATTTTTATTTTTATTTTATGCTTTCCTCCACTTTACAAAATTTCTGGGTTTTTTTTTTTTTGAGATAGTCTCACTTTGTCACCCTCAGTAGAGTGCCGTGGTGCCACAGCTCACAGCAACCACCAACTCCTGAGCTTAGGTGATTCTCTTGCCTCAGTTTCCTGAGTAGCTGGGACCACAGGTGCTCGCTACAATGCCTGGCTATTTTATGTTGCAGTTTGGCCATGGCTGGGTTTGAACCCGCCACCTTCGGTATACAGGGCCAGTGCCCTACTTACTGAGCCAAGGTGCTGCCCACTTTTCAAAATTTCTAAAATAATTCTGAGCTTTTCCTCCAAGCAGAGGAACAACAATAAATGTCATTTTAAAAATGGGCTGAATGCCTTGGCAGCAGGCTAGGATTCTTACTCTGGCCTGACTGGCACTTACTGTCTGACCATAAACTTATCACCTTAGATTTCCCACTGGTCTCCTCAATGGCTGAACAAAATTATGACCATGTAGCCTCTAAAAATGTCCTGAGTGTCACCACAACACAGGCATGGACTTGTGCCGCCGAGCCTCTCCTTCCTGCCTCCACTTCCATACCAGTCTCACCTGTGGTGAAGCGCAGGGTCCTGGCGGGGGTCTCTGAGCTGGAGGAGACGTGGGCCTGGCTGGTAGGCTCAGGGTTTGATAGTGAGGCAGGCGCGGCTGGGGAAGACTGGGTCCTGGACACGGGCCGGTGCCTGCCCTGGACCAGAGGAAGCAGCACAGAGTCCCCAGTGCCTCCCCGGGGGAGCCGCCCAGGCAGTCGCTGCTGTTCCCAAAGGAATACCTAAAGAAAACAGGGGGCCTCAGTGTCCTGGGCTCAGGGCCTTTCCTGAGGTCTTGAGAATCTCCAAGTGTACCCCTTGCCTAGATGGACTCCAGGACACACCTGGCCCTGCCATCCAGCTTGGCTCTTGCCTTGGAATGAGCCCCTCCCCTGAGCAGCTCTGCCAAGGCCTGCACCCCAGACTGATCATTCAGTTCCACCAGAGCTCCCTGTACCCTTGGGACTCCAAAGCCAGAGCCCAGGTGAGGGGACTTGGGTCCAGCTCTGATCAGGATCTCTTCATTGCCAAGGACTAGCAACTGCCCCACAACACAGGTATGGACCTATATGTCACAGGTTGTACTTTGTCCCCCCCAACCCAATTCATATGTTGAAGTCCTAGCCCCAGGTCAGAATGTGACCTTATTTGGAGACAAGGCCTTTACAAACAGAGGTAACCAAGTGAAAATGAGGTGATTAGTGCAGCCTTAATCCAATATGACTACTGTCCTTATAAAAGAGGAATATGAACCAGACACAGACAGAAGGAAGCCCACAGGAAGAAGACAGCCGTCTGTAAGCTGAGGAGAGAGGCCTGAACCAGCCCCTTCCCTCACAGCCCTCAGACGGAACCAACTCTGCCACCACCTTGATTTTGGACTTCCAGCCTCCAGAACTGTGAGGTGACAGTTTAAGTCTACAGTACTTGACTCAACAGCTTTAGCAGATGAATAACCATGGCTTGTCAACCACAGTGAGAAGAGCTCTGTTCCACCTCTCACCCCAACCTCAGGGGAGACGCACTTGGACAGGAGTGTTCATGGCTCCATGAAAGGCCAGACTCACCCTGAGACTGGCAGGCTGCTGGACTGTGTGTGTGTATATAGAGGTATGTGTGTGCACATGTGTACATGCCCACATCTTGGTGTGGATACAGCACCCTGGATCTTGTAGGGCTGTTCCCTGAACTGATGTCACATGTGCCTCCCTTCCTTATCTCATGCTAGGCCAGTCTTCTGCACACCCTTTCTGAAGCTCACGTGGGCACTGCTGTACCTGCTGGTGCTGCTGGAGAACGGGGCCTCTGGCTTCAGGCTGCCCATGGCCCACCTCTCTGTGTTCCAGGCCATCACCCAGCAGCTGGCCCACTGCTCCGCCATCTGTTTCTAGGTCCTCAGCTGAGGGTATGTGCCGCAGTCGAGATTTCTCACTTGGCTTAGGCGATCTCTGGGGAGGGGAAATGCCTGGCTGAGAAATCATGTTGGAGCAATGGGTGTGGAGTGGGAGGTGGGCCCAGCCAGGAGGCTACTTATCTTGCTAGGATTCCAGAGACACGCAGCTCTGGGTACCTAGAAACCATATCCTCGCTCTTGTCCTCCCTGTCCCTGCCCTTCCTAAGCCCCTTCTGCTTTCAGCCCCCAGGGGCCCAGTTAAACACCCCCTAGAGCAGCTGTTCTCAACCTGTAGGTGGCGACCCACAGGAACTATATTAAAGGGCTGCAGCATTAGGAGGGTTGAGAACCACTGCCCTACAGCCTCCCCTTCTCAGACCTCCCCTACCCAATTCTCACCTTGATCGGTTGGACGTGAGGTTTGAGCCGCTCTGAGCGGGCCTGTAGGGGGCCTGGCGGTGGAGGGGCCGTGGCACTGGGGGGCAGGGGCTCTGAGCAAGTCCGGCTCAGTGCCCAGTGGAGGCCTGACCCGGAGAGCCGCTTGGTCAATATGGACTGGGCAACGTGGAAGGGCAAGGGCCCAAGCCCGGGCACTGGAAAGAATGGGTTAGTGGGGTCATGAGGTGGGGACCACAGGGAGCAGTAGAAGGATACAAGAGCATGGGTAGGGGGCCAGGACACAGCAGAACGATGCACAGGACAAAGATATGGGAAGGGTTGGGGGTCCCTTCCCAAGCTTGGCCCTTAGCAAGGTGCAGAGATCTACCATCCCACCAGCCCCAGAGAAGCAGTGGGACTCACCAGTCAGCAGCGGGGCATGAGAGCCTGAGGGGTCCAGGAGAAGAATAGGCTGCAGGCGAGAGGGCAAGGCACCCCCAGCCTCAGCCTCTAGGCCATGGGGCAGGAAGAAGGGAGCATGAGTACTCCCCAGGACCGGCCCCCGAGGCCCCAGAGTTGGATGGGTCCTATGGTCACCATCAGCCTAAGGGAGAGGCAGGGAGAAATCACAGGGGAGAAGACTCCAGAAGAGAGCAGTGAAGGTGATGGGAGAGGCAGTAAGAAAAGGGAGTAAAAGAAGCTAGGAGGCCTAGAGTGGGGGTGGGCGCCCCAGCCACTCACCCTGGCAGGGGCGGGAAGCCCCAGTGTGATTGTGGGCAGCAAGGACACTGTCGGCAAGGCGAACGGGGCCAGAGGAGTCTCCTGCAGCCGCAGCCGCTGGCCCAAGAGCGCCTGCCATAGGGAGCAGGGCCAGGGGTCACCGGTCCCAGTCCTCTACCCAGCATGCTTCCCAGAACACCCATAGGCTCTGCTTTGGGCTGCCCAGACCCTGCAGCCCCAGCCCAGGTTAGGCTGTCTGCTGGAAGAAGGCTGAGCCTCAGAACTGCCCCAGGAGAGCCCAGTTCTGGCAAGGCCTTACCTCTGAACCCAGGACAGGGTTAGGGCCATGCTCGCTGTCATTAGGGGAGCTACACCCTGACACGGGTGTGCTGCTACTACTGGGGGAGGAGTCTAGAGGGGGGAGAAGGGAAAGTGCATCAGAGGCTGGGGTAGGCCTCTGTCTCCTGCTTTCTTCCCACAATGGGAAGAAGGCAGGCCACCACTAGCCCATGGCACTTGGGGACTATTTCTTTCAGCATGCCCCGTTTTCTGGAAAGATGTTAACTTAGCCCACATCTAAGCAGGGTGGGATTCAACACTGCTCCCACCCCCTCTGGAGAGAGTGCAGGATATATCCTGTATGAACACACACAGAAGTCCTAAAGAGGGAACCCCCATCTGGATGGGATCCAACCCAGAGGGACAAGACCTGCCAGGATTAAGGGTGGCTGCTGCCTCACCTCCGAGTGTTTCTGCAGGCCGCCGCTGGAGGCTGGGTGGTGCGCTCTCCTTCCTGAGCAGTGGATTCTTCCTGCGCTCCAGGGACTTCTTGGGCTTGTAGCGTAGTTTCAGGTTGGGCTCAGAGACTGCAAGGAGTGCCAGTGACACTCAGGTCCCCACACCACCCTCTGTCCCTCACTCCTCATCATTTCTACGGGGTAAGGCAAAAGAAGGCGGCCTCAGAGAGAAGACAGAAGCCTGTGGACTGTGGTCCCACCCCTTTGCAGTCTTGACCTGCATCTGAGGCCCTTGTCCCTTAATTTCCCTAGAGGGTCCTGGCTGTGTGCCCAGCTCACCTGTCTTGCGCAGGGGGAAGTGCTCTGGGGGGTCACTGGGCAGGCTGGGGACAGGAGGCAGAAAGCTGCTGAGCATAGAGCGGGTGGCCCCTTCTGTCTCCAAGGGCTCGAGAGTTCTGTGGAGCAAGTGCCAGGTACTTCAGAGTGGTGCATGGTCACCCTCCTGAGCATGGCACAGGGGCTGGGAACCTGGTAGGGAGGCGGCAGCGGGCAAGGCTAACAGCATGGGGCAAGCAAGAATGGGGACCATCTCCAGGTGGCAGCAGTGGGCCACTCTTCCTGCCCAGCTGCCACAGTGCAGAGCTCTAGGAACTCTGGCAAGAACCTGCTCTAGGAACTAGGACATTAGAGAAGGGACTCCTGTGCATAAGAAGAAAGGCAGCAGGATGTGTGTGTGTGTACAGCCTGTGTGTATCTTAGGTGGGAAGGGGAGAGATCAAGGACAGAGAGAAGAGGACAGGAAAGTTGAGAGAGAAGCTTGGGGGCATTAAGTTTAGGTGAAGGGTATGGCTCAGGTAATGGCAGGTGAGGAGGAAGGGGCCTGGTGGGATGGGGGAAAGCAGGTGAAGTGATAGCATTACCTATAGGGGATGTTAGGGCTGTTGGGGTGGACTGTTCTCTCTAGGGCTGCCTGCTGCTTCTTTAGAATCACCTCTGCCAGCTTTTGCTTGACCACACTGCTGGCTACGGCACCTGCAGGGGCAGAGTCATGAGTGGGCTGGGAGTGGGTGAATGGGCAACCTCCCTGAAATACTCTCTGCCCATGGCCTTGTCCACATACCCAATATAACACATCCCAGGGACTCTTCAGGCAGGAGCCAAGCCAAGGCCCCACCTCTCCCTGGAGCTTCCAGACCCTGCCCCACTCACAGGCACAGCCAGGTAAGCAGAGGGAGAGCAGGTGGCTGCTGGCCCAGCCAGCTACGCCCACCCCCCACTGGTGGCCTGGGCTCCCAGACTGGGCCAGGGCTGGGGCTGCCTCCATCCTTACTTCGCTTGCTTTTGTCCTTATTGAGAAGCTGCCGAAGCTCTTGCTCCTGCTGCCCACCCTGCAACTCGGGCATCGGCGTGTCCATGGAGAGCTGTGGGCAAGGCCAATGGCCCAGGAATGGGCAAGGAGTTGAGGACTGAGACTGGGCACTAGGGAGGCTTGAGGGAGGGAGGCTGGGGGCCAAGCCCAAGGTCGCCCTGTGTTCACGGAGCTCTGCCTTTACCCTCATGGGCTCTGCCGAGTGCTGCTGCTGTAGGCCTGCCAGGAAGAGGTGGTGGCTGTGCAGGCGCTGGGGACGCTGCAGGGCCAGCAGCGTGGGCTCTGGTGGGGGCTCCACTGTGGGCCGCTGACCTACCCGCAGGTCCATGGGCTGGGGCTGAGGGCCTGGCGTGTCTGCACGGGGCAAGGGGCAGCCTGGGGACAGAGAGAGAGGGTAGTGTCAGCCAGAAATTGTGATTGTAAGTACAGGGCCGCACCCCACCAGGCCTCTGCCAAGCTCACTTAACAACTACAGCACACCGTTGGGGTCTTTTCCTCACTTAAGCCGTGCCAGGGTGCTGCAAGGTCAGTATTACCGATTCCACCTTATCCAGGAGAAAGGAGGCCATACCACCCGTACACAGTTATACCCACAACCAGGGATATCTGAGTTGTATCTTCAGACTCTAGGCATAGGGCTTTTCCACCAAATATGTTCCTCCCAGGCCTGGGGTTGCAGGCCACAGGGATTTTGCAGATTGCAAAGGTGGTATATTCTGGGCCCTGTCCTCTCCTTCCCTTTGTTCCCTCCATCCCCAGAATAAGACGATTTGCCCAGCTGCCCTCTAATGAGCTGGGCTCAAAAGAGGTGATCGGGCAGACAGGCCCACTCTGTTCCTCTTCCACCCCCAAGGGGCTGCACAGGCCCTCTCTGTCATCACCCTCCCATGCTCTAGTGCCAGTCACTGGATAAAGTGATGCCTCAAGCCTGCGGCAGCCCTGGCTACCCACTCTGGGCCTGCAGAGCCCTGTGCCCAAGGCAGGCTCCTCAGCTGCCTGGGCCTGTGTGCTCCCAGACCTGCTCCTAGGGCCCCCACGCAGCTCTGGGCCTGGATAGTAAGGACAGCAGGCTTGGCTGCCTCTTTTCAAGTCCTCTGCACCCACACCAGGAGCACCCTGCCAAGTCTGTGGGTGCAAGGGCTATTTATAACTAGCCACCAGACCAGGGTCCACGCCAGCACAACCAGCTGGGCTGAGCAACCAGAGATGCCAGGGGAAGCAGGTGGGGACCAGGCCGGCCCCAGAGCAGTTCCAATGCTGGACATCCCCACAGGGCAGCCACAGGCTGTCCCCTGGGTCAAGGGCTAAGGAGAGCTGGGAAGGCCTCATGCCAAAGCCCCAGTCAGGGAGTTAGGAAGTGCAGCCTCCAGGCCACCCACGCCCTCCTAACCTCAATCTTTGCATCTGCAGTGTATATGCACTTTGATTGTTTGCAGAGTCCTTTCACCTCGTCACCCCCATCTGTCCTGGGCTCAGAGGTAAAGGGACCTGTCCAGTCTCCCACCTCAGGGGCAGAGCCAGCAGGGTTCTGGACCTGCTGAGGCCAGTGCTCTGTTTTTCCACCAACTTTAAAGAAGTCAAGAAGGCTTCACACTGGGAAAAGGAAGAGAGGTTTGCGACATGTTGTCCCTAAGGGACACTTGCACTAGCATGCTCTGTGAGGTGGACGTAAGAGAGGAGCTGAGTGAGGAGGTGCCTGCTAGCACCCCACCCGTATCAAGAGTCCTGATGGGATGACTATGCACCCAGACACAGTCCACAGCAGACAATGTGTGGCTTCAGTGCTCTCGCCCACTCTTCACATGGCACCTGAGGAATCCAGATTCTCATTCTCGGCTGAGTCTGATGCCAACATACTCGTGCTCCAGGAAAGGTCTTATCCTCCCATGTTCTGGTATCCTAGCTTCCCGGGGTGTCTCCCCTGACAGTATAAGAGGAGCTTAGGGGAACCCTAGGTGGGCCACCTGGACCTAAGACCAGTGGCCTCAGCCACACAGACTGTGAGCACCCCCTAGCAGTGGCCCCATCTCATTCTCAGCATGGCCACTGCCTCTAGAGCAGAAGGGAACACAGAAGGGCTTCTGCCTGGAACCCCGGAAGTACATTTCAAGATGCTTTAGCCTTTCAGGGAGTCCTAAATCTGATCCTCACTTGGCTTCTATCAACTTGGTCTCCTTCAATCTGTACAAGACGCTCCACCTTGGCCTTCAGCTTCCACCTTGTCACAAGCCTGTAGATCATCTGTCCTCTGAGCTCTTGCTCCCAATGTCACCTGCCTGTGCTGTCCTCATACCTATACTCTACTTTTCCAAATCTACTCCTTGCTGAAAGCTGAGTTGGGAGTCCCACCCTCTTTCCTGGATCAAATGGGCACCTGTGCACCCACCTCTCCTGCACAGCCATCATGCTGGCTGCTCGTGGCAGGAGAAGCACTTGGTGGCCAGGTGCCATGTCTGACTTAAGCTCCACAGAGCAGGGACTTGGTTTCGCCCAATGCTTATTATCCCCAGCACCTAAAATAGTACCTAGATACAGTAGGCACTCAGTAAATATGAAATCAATGAATGAATGCTTGCATTCCCCCTAAAATAACTAGAAAAGGGTCTGGCACAGAGATGGGGTTCACTGATTCTTGAACAAATGGATAAACTCACTAATCAGGTGCCCTCTAATTTGGCACTGGGCACATACTACCTCCTACAATTTTTTTCTTCTTCTATTTGTGTGTCCTGTCTGTCCAACCTGCCGATTAGGGTTTGGACAGCTAGGACTGAAGCAAGGAGGATACCTGGGTTGCCCTGCTCCTTGCCAGATAGAATCACTGGGCATTAGGCTATCTGTCCTGCACTCAGTAGCTCTCTGTGGACAACAGCTGAAGTTAAGGGCAGGCCTCACCCAGTCCAGACCTAGCTCACGGGCAGGTCCTAAACCAACATAGCAGCAGGAAGTCCACTCCTACCCCAGGGCAGCCTAACAGCAGAAGAGGCTGGGACTGGCAGGCAAGGAGGCAAGGACAGGGGGAGAACCATGTCACGAGGGAATAGTCTTGCACAGGCTGCCACACTCACTGAATGGGTCAACAGACAAGAACACACCTTGCCTGGTGCCTGACATGGGACAGGGGTCTGGGTATAAATGTTAGCTTCCTCCTTACCTTCCCGTGTCACTACACCTAGCAAGGACAAGAAGAGCATCCTGTCTTTATTTTCCTCCTGTGCTTTCTGGCAACAAGCCCAGCCCGCATCCACAGCTGCCTCTCTTACCCCACTCCTCAGCCCTTCCCCATAGAACCCCAACTTTGCCCCTCCCCTTGCACTCCCACCTGCCTACCTTCTGGCTGATGAGCCAGCCACCCTGCCTCTCCAATCCCTCAACTTCTCGCCTTCCTAGGACCTCTCCACCCCTCACCTTTCATTCCCCACCACAGGCTCCCTCAGGCCTGACGCTTACCTGTGCCAGAGGGGCTGGGACAATGGGCACCTGGACTTACCTGGGTCCCATCTGCAGAGAGAAGGAGTGAAGGGGCTGCAGGGAGGGGTCTGAGATGGGAAAGATGGGAGTGGGGGCCAAGCCAGGCTGGCCCCTGCAGCTTCCGAAGGCCCTACTGTAGCTTGTACATGCCAAAACCTAGGCCTCCACCAGAAGCTTACCAAAAAGAGAAGGATCGGTGCGCAAATCCCTGTGCCAGCTAAGAGGGGGTCCTGTTCTCCCTTGCCCATCCACCGAGTAACCTGAGCTCAGTCCACAGCAAGAACCTAAGGAGGCCCCAGCTCACCCAACAGTGCCCTCAGCCTGCCCTGGTGTGGTCAGATACAATCTTCCCTGGCAGCCAAACCAGGCTCCCATAGCCTCGAGGGAAAGAGGGCTGGGAGGTGGGGCCAGAGGTGGGAAGTGCTGGCTGGGAAACCAGCAGGGAGATGGGGCACAGGCTCAGAGGTGGGACAGGGTCATGGCCTGGAGGTGAAGTCATGTCTGATGAAAGCTGTTGAATGGTAGGGTCTGGAATGCATAGCCTGAGAGAACCAGCTGGGGACCCCTTTCCTCCTATTGCCCCATCCTGTGTCCTCATACTCTGTTCCCAGAGAAGAGATCTACTCAGCCTCTTTCCAAGATAGCCTGAGATAGAAATCTTTCCATATCTAAGCCCAGCTTTGGCCTTCTCATCTCATTCATAATCCACTGGTAGGCCCCAAGCTGGTCAGCAGCAGAAAGACCCCAGGAACCCAGAGGCTGGCTAGGGTGGGGCAAGACAGAGGTGAGTCCTAAGGCCACCTGTCCATGAGGGACACCTTTCCCTCCTGCCATCCCAGCTCAGGACCAAGGGAACAGGAGGCCATGGGGGGAGGGGGGCAGGGGGGCAGCACTGGGTAAACGCAGAGGCTCTACACAGGCCAAACTTGGGGCAAAAGTAAGATTTTTTTGCAGAACTGGCGGGTGCTACTCTTAGGGTCTATGTCTCAGGGGCAGCCACAGTTCCTCTTCTAGACACTGAGAAAGGAGAACTCCTTGCAGTCCAGCACTGCTGGGGGAGAGGGAACTGTAGACACAGGGAGACTCCTACCAATGGCCCCCAAACACCAGTGTCCCATGCTTTGAAGTTTAGTCAGGAAATGCCACTCCACCTATTCAAACGCTGCTTGTCTTTTAAGGCCCAGCCCAACATCTCCTGGTGGAGCTCACCCCGACTTCCCACGACTCCAGGGACCTTTCCTATATCACTGGCTGTATCCACCACCTCGATGCTTCATCAGTCATGATCTCCGTGGTGCCATTTGTAAGCCACGCCCATCTGCACCCAACACCTTGCTGGGCACATGGCAGGCTCTGTGACCAGTGAATCGAACACAATGACTTTCTCCTGGCCAAGTGCCTGAGACATAGCATGAACTATTTCTGGAGCTTTGTAAGCCCTAGAGGCAGACTCCCCTCCCCAGGACATGGTACCCCTAACCCCAGGCTTTCTTAGGACCTTCTCTTCCTTCTGCAGGACCTAGTCCCCGGAGAGAAGTTTCTGGACTGGGCTGCAGGGCGTATTCCCAGAGACTCCGTCAGGCAGGCTTAAGGCCCCCTGCCTCCTGGGAATTCTCCCTACCTCCCCTCAGTCCCTTGCCTGAGGGCTTGTCAGCAGCATTGGGAGCAGAGCCAGGTTCCTGCAGTCCGCTCTCTTGGTAACCACAGATTCCGAACACCGTGCACTCTCTGCATAGGATAAAAATTAATGGCCCTGAACTCTGTGGTGTTTGTTACTAGGCCTAAAAGGGATGTTCTGTGGTGATGATCTATAATATAGCCTATGTTCAGAAAAGCTGCATCCATACACACATGCATATGTGTGTGCTGGCAACAGGGCTGCTTCTAAAAGCAATTCTTGGGAA